TTTCGTCGTTGAGCTATCTGGTTTGAGCACTCCATGATGAGGCAAATAGTACGGAGGATGGGCGGAAGAGAAGCTGGCTGAAACGTCACCCGTGTCCCTTAACCCTCCTGACGCCGAGGCATCATGTGCCAGGTTTTCCACGAGATCAGAATCGTTGCCACTTACTCTCCGCATATGCCCGAGTTCCTCGTACTCCCTCATGAAGTTGGTGTACAGTTGATTGTAATGAGCATCCTTGCCCAACCGACGAATGATTCTCCGCAGACATCTTGAGGCAGTCAGTTGTGAACGCCCCAGCACTGATGGTGAACATTTGAGCGGGATCCGCACGTATCTTCCTGATGGGTCTCATGTGTGAGTAGTCCGAAAATGAGTTTCACATTCCTCTTCCTCTGATGTGAGCGTCGGTTGACCATCTTCAGGCGCCTCCTCTTGAATCCAAAATTTCGCCAGAAGTTCCTGAAGAGCGTCTTCCTTATGAGCCGCAACTTGATACGCACACACAGATGACGAGTCGGTTGAATTGATTGGTCCTAGAATAATCCACCCGAAGATCGATAGTTGAGCTACTGGTGAATTTGGATCTCGTTTTATCATTTTTGGCCTTATGATAGAGCCGTAATGATCGGCTCCGACAATGATGTCGATCGTTCGAGGACGGTAGTATTCCGGATCTGCTAGGCACAGTTCATTAACATGTTTCCAATGACCATGCTTGACCTTGACAGATGGAATCAATGTCGTGAGTTTATTGAGAATATGAGCATCAATGGTCACGATGTCCTTAGAGTGGAGGGACTTCAGTCGAAGCTGGACAAGACCGAGAGTCTGCGTTGCTTTTGCTCCTCCAATGCCATTGATGGTGACTGATGAGGACTGCCGAGGAATGTTGAGCTGACGTGTGAGCTGTTCCGATACAAATGTTAGTTCTGAGCCTGAATCCACGAGTAATCTGACTGAATGTGCTGTCACCGATGTTACCGCCTGTGCAATGGCAGTTCCCAGAAGAGATGCCTTGACGTGAGTGTGAGTTGCGCCGATGTTGACAACTGCATCACCTTCCTAGTGAGCCGCCGATGAGGTTGAAGGTTGAGCATTTCCGGACGATGAGCTGCGAGATTTCCAGCGAGATCGTGCAGCATCGTGTGATGTAAGCCGCTACAGGTTTTACATCTTTGAGCCGACCGACACGCTTTCGCGTTATGCCGACCCAAGCAATTGAAGCACAAACGCTTCTTCTCAGCTAATGCCTTTCTCGCTGTGGGCGTCAATTTCCTAAACTGTTCGCACCCAATGATGTAATGCTCACCCTGACACTGGTCGCATGGATGAGCTGTGGAACTCTGAGCGAAGGCCGTGGTTTTCGACGTTGT